AACGTTAGGGAGTAAAAAAGTGTGATACTGTATAACAGCACCATAATATAACTGGGGCCAGACCATGCTGAGCCTTTACAGGTAGAATAATGGTAAAATCAACTACATACAATGCAGTTCATTTATTGCGTCTAAATTGCGACTTCATCAAAATTGCAGCCATCTTGGTTGTTAACATAATTGCTTCAGCAGTCCTCCCATTGGGTGCTCCTATGTTGAGAGTGAATAAACATGAGCTCTCAGATTGGCCAATTTTCCAGTCTACCCTCTCCATGCTCAGTAACTGTGCATCAGAGGCTATGGAGGGGTGTGAAGTGCTTCTGAGAGCATGTGGGTTCACTACTGCTGTGCTCTACGATTAAACAGTAGTACGTGCTGACAGCTGGAGTAGAAGAGCATGAAGCACTGGGGCACAGTGCAGAGGGAAGCTGCCTCTCACTGGTGTTGTGGAAATGACACATTAGGTGTCTTAAGGCTTTGACGTATGATGGTTCCATGGTGTGTCACCAATCAAACCTGAATCTAAATAAAGAACAATGACACTTTATGTAACAGCAAATAATTCCTGTGCACCTGCAGTAGAAACCAATCACCTCCCAAAAAAATTACTAATTAATTCCTCCTTCAAGCGTTGCCTCATTAGATTAAAATGCATTACATTGACAGGTTGATCTTTTGTGTATCTGTCATCTGTCAGATAATACAACGCCCTCATCTGCAGAAGTTTGTTTTGTGTGATTTGAGTGACAAGGCGGATAACCACATTGTTTCCTCTTGACTCTTACTTTCCCTTCACTGGAAACAAAAATTCACTGTTGCTCTTTCGCATTTTCAACACAGAGAATACTTTTGAGACTGAGAGCTACCAAAAGACATTCAAGGACACAATAGTCAACAACTAGTAGCAGGAAACTCAACTTTAGTTTTTGTAACACACTAATTTTATACAACTAACTGAACAATGTCATAAGACAAAGAAAAATCTAGTATGAGCAATGTTTTACATGCAGCATACTGTGCATCAGGTCAGTTTATTACTATGGTTGTAGTTGAGGTTTTTCCTTCCAACTCCTATAGCCTGTAGTCTCATCTGCCATCAGCTGGTCTTAAGGTGTGTCATCTGCAAGGGCGTTAGACAGATGCTCAAACAAACACAACCGAGTTTTGCATTTGTACTTGTCATCACTTAATCCTTCTACAACTGCCATCATGGAGGTCCCACACAACACACATTGATAACTGACTTTAACCTCATATCTAAACAGACTGGTCCACAGGCACTTCACTACTGAAATACTGACAGCCTGAGAACTGAACAGACTTAACCATGCCGAACTAATCACTGTATCAGAATTTCAAAGTGGGGGCAAGTCTCCTAATTAGTGAAGAGTGTTAACTAATGTTACCTTTCTAAGCGTTTGGAGACGTATCTCCTTTAGGAGTTCCTGTAATCTGAGGTTTACGATGAGGCCCAATATCTCTAGTGAATCATTTTAAGTCCAGATGTGCAAACATGCTCTGATCACTTGCAGGTACAAGTAACCCGTAAAGTAAAGTTCTTCCTTCTTGGTTATTAACAATGATATTATTTCATCTCTCCAAATGCATGACTTTCACCAAAATCAATTTATGTGTAGTTTAAATTCCGGGTTTCAAAATCTATAATTCAATCATCAAATATTATGTACTATGTCTTAAATATGTTACCTTGGATACAAGACATGTCTATATTATATCAACATTCTTTTAATGCTACTTTCGTCAAGCTTTTTTTCAAAGAGGAATGTTTTAGAGGTATGCATCGCTTGTAATGTGTGTTGTAGTTTGTGTAATTGGCTGGCTGTGAGAAAGACGATGAATATCCATTGTCTCTCCCTGCAAGATAGCATGGCATTTCAAGGGTTATTCTCTACTTGGCTATTTCACCTTGTATTCAGGTGTGGGGAAATGTATATAATTTGATATTCCTTCATATCTGTCATACTTGACATGCAGGTGTCTTAAATTTCAGTTTGATTGTAAAGTCTTGAATCCTGCAGAAACCCTGTGTCTTTTTGTCCCACCTCTCTGTGTATGTATGATAATATATTCTAGATTATTTTAGCCTGTTTTGTCCCTTTCCAGTCTACAACTATGCACACATGCTTTATCCACACAAAGAAAGTATATAGTTATACCCTCTCCAATACTGTGCATGTGAATGTGTTGCTAAACATAACCATACAAATACTTTATGACTGAAAATGCTGTGAAATATCAGCCTTCAGATTCACTTATGAAGATGCTGTTTGAGTCTGTACAGTGTTCTAACATCATCCATATTGTAGCCTGTGGGTCTATGAAAAAAAATGATTCTGCCTTGAAGTCGAATCAAAACAGATCAGGAGAGATTATAAAATCAAACTTACGGGTCAATTGGTTTGCCAGTAAATCCTCATGGAGGAATCCTGCAGGACATGTTTCTCTGCATGTTTATTTTTTGTCTCATCTTTTTTCATTTTGTTTGCCTTCCTTATAAAGTGTTGAAGTACGCTGTTTAAATGGCATTGTAGAAACCCCTCTTTCCACTCGATCACCTGTCGCAGCATGTTCGGTCACTTCCCAGCATTTTTGGTGTTTACACAGGTTGATCAAGCAGAAAGGCAGGTTTGGTTTCATCACGTAATCTGATTACCTGCTGAAAGGTTTGATGCTGCTCATCTTGACTGCTCTCCTACTAATAGCAAAGGTCTGAAAATGATATGTCCATTTCAAGGCTTGTATTTACCTTTTCAGAGCAGTATCATTAACAACCATAGTCAGGTCAACTGAGGCGGAACAGATGGAATCTACTTTGACTCTTGCCTGCTGGTAGCTTGGTTCATTTGTTTTTTTGGTTCTCCCATTCATACATCAAGATACAACTGTGGACAAAGTCATTTTTCTGTGGTATTTCACTTGATAATTACTTCCCTGGAAAAACCCCAGAAGACACACTCTTTTATAGACAATATGTTTAATTGAGCAAATTAGAAAGAGCCCATATAGCACAGCAGCTGTGTACACACACAGAGGAATCTGCAAGGGAAGCCCTCGGAGCACCAGTAAAGGGATGCAGTGAGAATTGTGTATTCAAAAAAAGATCCTGATTGAGTCAGACGTCCTCCGTGCCAGAGCAGTGGCTTTTCAACACAGATGCACATAGTTAGCGTGTGTTTGAAACCTCTGAGTCCCTCACTGATCACCCGGCTGCAATGATTCTCCAGCCGCCGGCGCGTTGCTTATGTACTGGGTTTACGTGTATGATAAGGTTGGTGGCTTCAGCTGACATGTCAGCAATTCGCTCACGAGAAGCTTTTGAAACAAGTGGACAATGTCTGCCTTTTCACACCTGGCATTAAAATTCGTCCTGAGTACATCCCATGTGTCCATCGGACATCATAACCTTGCTCTGTGTGCAAATAAACACGTAAGTCATTTGAGTTCGCAAAGAGTAAATTATGTTGTTTGTCCGATGACAATGTTTTTGTGTGTCTATGTCTCGGCAAGAGTGAATGAAAGAGACTGATCAGAGTCAGGAGGGACTGAATGAATCAATGAGCTCCATGCAGCTCTGATAGGAAGAAAGATTTTACCCATTTGAAATTAAAAAAAATAAATCATCTGTTAGTCAATGGTGATATTGTGGCAGTGGCCAAAGACAAATCCACATATGGACACTGAAAAGCGTTAAAATCAGTTTGTTTCATTGTGAAGATATATCTGGTCAGAGGATGATTAGGAAGCTCTTCAATGATGCCCAGGATGCATTTGTGTGTTTACAGAGATTATGGCCACATGCGAGACGAGTGACGGCGGACTGAAACGGTGTTGACAAAACTTCACCCACCCCTTCTTTACAAAACTCAACCACTCAGTAGTCCCAATTGTCGTAGGCCCCGTGTGGTATCACTATAGCCACTAATTTAGGAGGGTGCATAGCTTTGTCATTATCCCTCAATGCACGAATTCTGTGCAAATAAAAGCTTTTCCATAAAGAATACATACACCTCAGTATATGTGGTTATTAAAGAAACTAATCCTGTGTTTTTATTCCTAGGTTTGGTAGAGATCTGCTTGATGCATCCCCTCGATGTGGTGAAGACGAGGTAAGCCGCACATTCTACCAGAAGACACAAGCATTTTCAAATCTATTGTGAAACTCGTGTACCTAAGGTTTAAGCTACTTACGAGAGCCATTTTAGTTCACATCTGCTATGAATCCTCACGGTGGGTATGTGGGTCTGTGCAGTGAAGTTCCGCACATACCAGGTCTTTTTTCCGCATCTCAACAAGCCTGGCAAGTACTGCACTCATTCTCCACTCAAATCCGCACCGATGCCAATGGCCTTAGACATTTTCTGGAAAATGAAATGCATCATTTACCCATTCATTCCCCACACAATTTTACCGTTAGATGTTTTATGTTTTCAAATGACTGAACATTTTTACCTTATTACTTAATTTAAGAAAAAAGGAGCAGACAATTTTCCAATTTTTTTCGCGCAGCCGGCGGTTTTCCGTGCGGGATGTGGACTTGCAGCGGACTATATCAGATGCCACTCAATGCACTCGCTGTGTTTAATACCTTGTTTTCCGTTAGCATCTCCTGTTATGCAAGTGCGGCAGCAGTCTCGAGCTGCAGAGTGATCAAGAGCCTCACACCACAGTGTCTCAGCCAGCCATAAACAGGTCGTGGGCTTCTACTAAAGCTTTATAGTCTTTCACAGGCCCAGCCAAGACCTCTGGCTTCGTTCTGAGCCCCCCTGCCCCATTCACTACTTGTCAGTAAATTGTACTGCTTTTTCTGTCATTTATGGCAGCAGTTTCTTGGTAAATAAATTGCCCAGTGTGCCTTTTAAAAAAGTGAGATGGTTGCACTTTGAAGGCATTACCACCACCATAACACAGAAGGAAAGGCGGGGATAAAAGCGTATTAGTCGATATCTGATACTTTGAAGGCACACAGCATGATTTATGGTCACGTGTAGCAGCTATGGGGGTTTATTACAGGTTATTACAAGACTTGAGCTCTGCCTGTCCGTCCTCACACAGGGTCAGGGTTAAAAGTGCACCCACTATTTTCTTTGTAATGCTCTTCCTTAAAAAAGTGATAAAAGCTGCTCTAAAACGGGACAGCTTTATCTGTTTGTTTTCTACTTGTGTTGCCATGTGTTTGTGTTGATAGACGTTCTCTTGCTGAGAACGGGTCAGTGTAAAGGGATCTTGTTTGGTCTTGACTCAGAAAAAAATTGTTTGTTTTTTTTACAAAATGCAAAAGCAGAATAGTGTTTCTGTTGATTTTAATTGAATTTTAGATAATGTTGAGAGAAACAGAGGTTTTTATGTACTCTGAATAACAGACGTGCAGGATATGCACAGATACGCATGCATACTGTACATGTATGTTCACACACTTGTTCACACACTTAATGTCCACATGAATTCATAAACCAAGCAAACATACCAGCTAATTGGGACACTGAGGGAGCTGAAATCTATTAGCAGAAACCTTGGAGCCAAGAGTCAGACACAGCCACACTTCCACTGCGTCTCTCTCTCACTCTCTCTTGCTCTCTCTCACTCACTCTCTCTCTCAATGGCATGGCTCTTATTAGGCACCAGCTCCTGCTTTAATGTCCACTGGTCCAAATTGCACAGCAACTGGAGTAAATTTACTTTTTTCCACCAAGTTAGAATCAAAGGGTTTTTTTTTCTCTCTTTCTCTCTCTCCCTTTTCTGTCTGTCTTTCTTTTTATTTAATTGGAAAGTAAACTTGACAAAATGGGTACCTGCCTGGGAGTTGATGTTACCTATTTTCCAAATTAGGTTTTGTCTGTCTCTGTGGAGAAGGGGGTTGTGATCTGCAGTTTAAGGATAAGCCACACCATACTTTCAATTAAAAAATCTGATGAGATTTTGGTTGTCAAAGGTCACGGTGACCTCACAAATCAAATGTTTCGCCTTGTGGAGGTGATTTCACTGGAACAGCATCAAGGAATCCTTTCACATTGTCACAAACATTCACTTGGAGTCAAGGATTAAATCACTTGATTTTCGTAGCCTTAGGTCAAAGGTCATGGGGCCTCACAAAGAATGTTGGTTTTTCTTGAACATGATATCTTAAGATCAGTTGAGGAAATGTCTTCAGATTTGGTACAAACATTCACTTGGACTCAAAGATGAACTGATTTGATTTTGGTGCCTGGAGGTCAAATGTCAAGGTCACGGTGACCTCACATCCTTGTGAATGTGATATTTTAGAACAGAAATCTGGTAAAATTCACTTGGACTCTGATGATAATTCAGTGGTTAAAGGTCAAGGTCATGTTGACCTCAGAAACATGTCTTTGGCCATGTGATTTCTCCAGACTGCTTGAGGGGATTTCTTCAACTTTTGATCAGTTGTCACTTGGACTTAAAGATAAAGTAATATAAACAAAGATAAACATCTTTCAGTGGTCCAAGGTCAAAAGTCACCGTATATAAATTAATCTGGTTTTAACAATATTTAATTGGAGTTTTGGATGCCTCAACCACACAGGACTCTACATGTAGGACCTAAAGGTGAAAGTTGTGTCAGATGGTAACAGGGTATATTTTTGCCTTTGTTGTTTCACTTCTACCCCCTGTGGCTGCTCACTGACCAGTCGAGCCATGACCCCCGTTACTCACCATTTCTAACAACTACATCTTTTATCTGAGGGACTCCTGCAGAGCCCACCTTCCATCAGACTGACTTACAACCTCTTTCATCGTTGTGAAGGAGTGAATGTGCATAGGCTTGCATAAGATGTTTATATATCGGTCATTTTGAGATAAACACATGGATGCATTGCATTTAGTTCAGCACCAAGCGGTTAGAACTTTAGTTTAGTGTCTTTGACAAACTGATTTAACAATAATTGGAAAAATTAATTGTTAATCTATGTTGATTACTAAATGTTCTCTACTTATGTTGCTGATTATTTATTTGGCGATAAATTTATTCTACAATTTTATTATAGCTTCTACAAACCTTTGAAATAAACTAAACTGAATAATTACAGATTACAGAACAACTTTTTCTACCCCCTGGACAATGGAAACATTATTAAATACTGTTTGTTCTAATTAAAGTTAAGTTTCCTTGATGCACACACAGTGGGGTGCAGACCAGTGTGAGCCTCATTACAGGTCATAACTGAGATTAAGGTAAAATGGTTATCGTTAAAAAATAAAGTGAAGTATGCTGAGAGAAGATTATTATTTATTTTCATGAACAATTTGGTGTTTAGGACAAAGATTTATCACACAGACAACTTCAATTATGCAACTGTGATAATTCAGTTTCATGTTTTTTCATGCTTTTAATACGTCGATCTAGAAACTGAAACGTTTATCTCATCTTGAGTCTCTCTGGATAATAATCAGCCTAAAATGTAAATGTAGCATACTTCGCACAAAGTAAACAGTTAATTGCCCCTGACCATGACGTCCCCCCACCCCCACCCCTCTTCGTGGTTAGTGGCAGGAATGTCGGGTTGAAGATGGAGGGTGTGGTGTGGGGATGGGGGGCAGTCGTCAGTTTAGCAGAGAGAGACAGTGGGACCGGAGTTACAGCTTTTCATTAACCTGGAAACCACCTAGTTACATGGTTCATGGGCTGGTCTCAGCTCACTTGGAGGTAACAAAGGGTGTCGGGCGGCACTTTCTGCAGGGGGCTGTGTGCTCGGGGCACCCCATCTGACTCTGATCAGGTTCTCCCTCTCATTAGAGAGTTGCACTGAGCCCGCGTTTCCCTTCATGTTGAGATCCTGTTACATAAAGCTCCACCCTATACCCATGCATGCGCAAACATACTCATGCTCATCAGAAAGAAATTTCCCATCACCCCCTTCACTTTCCGCCCATAGAGCGAAACCACGCCTTTCTCATGTCTGCGTCTGCCTGAGCAACCTCTGCTGTCATCATGAGCTTCCTGAAGCTTCCGCAGCATGCACACGATCCGCAGCGTTTGCTATAATGAGCCCAAAGATGTATTTTCTACAATAACACTTGAAATGAGCCACTCCTCCTCCACCTCTCTTCTCCACACACACACGTTCTTCCTCACTGTTTCTTTCTTTCATGTTCTCGCTCAGACAACCACATGTCAAGCAGATTTCTTACTCCTCCCACTGACCATTAACTTGTTTCGCATTCTGTCAAATGTGGTTTGAGTTTTTCAGCAACCATCTTAGTTAGCCCGTTGTTGCATCAGCCACAACTTTTGTTAATACAAACCTTATTATATAACTACGTCATCAACTTCATGTGGAATGCATTGTTTAAACTTCTATCATTACTTCTGAATTTGTAGTTTGTTGAGCGATTATTTAATGTTTTGTTATAAATCCCTGTTGAACATGTGTTATTGTAGATTTGTATTGAATTATGCAATTCTGTAAATTGTGTTGTATGACATGCCTGTCAGAGCCATTGCAAACCACAGAGCCTGCCAGTAGCCTTTTCAAGCCTGATTGGAAAAACCTGGTGCGGGCCCTTGCTCACGGCAATATCTATGGCAACACTACCTCCATTTGGTCACAGCACGCATGAAAGTGTACCCCACTTGGGGGGCTTGAAAGTGATCTTTGATGAGAGCTTTGACAGATGACGTCCAGTCTTTTTGGGAACGTGCGACAGCGGTGAGGATGGCCCAAAGGCTTCACCCCTCCTCTCTCCTGCCTCCAACTCTGTTTGCCCCCAACTGCTTGGTGAACCCCATTGCACTTATGGAGGAATCCCTGACACAACCCTCAAACAGCAGGGCACAAAGCAGCAGCAGCCTGATAGCTGATCTTTTCTTGTAAAGGAGCAGGCAGGTCAGCGGTCGTCAAGCCGGCCCTTAGTCCCCCCGGCGCTGTGAGACTGGAGGGCAGGACTTTACTCACAGTGTAAACTCAAACACATGCCGCATGCAAAGAGGATAACCCAGGCTTATTCTGTGCATCACTTCAGTGCACAAGCATAAGTTGTGTGTCTCATTGTGGTTCAGGCTGGTTGAGTGGCCGGTACTTTAAGCGTTCAAGTTGGTGACAGTCGCATCACTTCATAAACCTGAAATTAAGGTTCACACTTTTATTAC